CGCGCCGCGGTCCTGTTCGATATGGGACTCATAGTGACGTTTACAACGCGTGTAAAATACATTGTTTATTTACATGAAATTCGATCACGCGCTGCGCGACGACCACCGCGCTTTAAGGAAGGTTATAACTAAGGTCAGTTTGGAGCCTTGTTTTTTTTCAGGTTTTTCTTTTTCCTTCTCCCGCCATTTTTGTTTTTCATCAAGCTGCTGAACGAAATGGTCTGACATTTTCTACAATGAAAGACCCTAATGTGACTTTGTTTATCTGACTTTCAGAGTTTTGATTGGTCAATTGGTTCGGTAGCCATGTTTGATTGAAGTTAAACCCGATCGGCAATTTTGAACCTTTTCTGGGGTCAAGGCATTCTAAATTGTTGTTGTTGTAGCTTTATTGGGATGTTGGCTAGCTATTTGAATTGTCCGCCATGGTTTCCTGAAAAAAACGTCAAAAAATACTTGAAACTCTTCTACTTGAGAACCGCTGACCCTATTTTTAGTCAGGTTTGGCCGCCATACTTGATTTCTCATAAACAGGAAGTATTTTTTTTCACAAGTTATTTCTCCGAATGTTACCATGTTGCATCCCTCAACTGAATTCCTTCAGACAATGCAACAAATAATTTTAGTTAGTCACGTGATTTCGCCGCCATCTTCGATTTTCTACACAAATGATATTTTGTTGTTGTATGTATTATGTATGGCCAAAACTTCTTAAAAGTATTTTGATCAGTGGTTTGGTCGCTATTTGTGATTTCTGACAGAAATTACCACAATTTGGGGCACTGTTTCTCATGAGGGCTTTAACATTTTCAGTATAATATGTATGACCAAAACTTCTCACGGGAAAAATAAAATAATTTTGATCAGTCAAGTGGCTTGGTAGCAATCTTGGATTTTCAGGAAAATGGTCATAATTCGGGGCATGTGTGTCTGAACTCTCATAAATGCTTTAACCGCTCAACTTGCTATTTTGCATGTAACATGTATGGCCAATGCATCGTCTGAGAAAAATAACACACACACACACACACACACACACATATATATATAGTGCCCCAAATTGTGGTATATATATATATATATATATATATATATATATATATATATATATATATATATCAATGAGTACATGTTGAGGCTTCAAACTTCGACTCGACAACTCTGCAGCTTTAATTTTTTTTTTGACATCAAAAAAGAATAGAAAAACTCGTTTAAATACAGGAAATATAGCGGCAAGCAGCAGTTTTCGTCTTTCATTTATCTCTTCAATAGGGGAATTTCCGTACAATTGCGAGATCTCGCGAGATGTATGAAAAACGCGCGTCGAACGTCTACCGCAAAAATCGAACGATTTGATTTTGAACTAGAATTTCTTTATTTCGTAACTCACATCGACCGGCCGATCTTCGACAGAGGAATATTGCTTCCGAATACCCTTACTTAATCAAAATTGCCTATCATCAAATGATATTAAGCATTATTAAGCATGGAAATGTCCCCCAAAATACTTCGCGTTTGTCGAATCCCACGCGATGTTTGACGCGACTACGACGCTATGACCTTTGTTTGTCCTGTTTTTACGTTCGATTTCACGCATAACGCGTGATTCTCGCAGTGAACGGAAAATGGTCTATTAGAGCAAACTACTAGTACATACGATGTACTATTCAAACTCAAAATGTGACATAGTTTGAACATTTACTAGAATACACGTGCATAACATTTGGGTATGTTGTTATTTATACTACTAGTACCTACTTAATTGCATAATGTTTCAAATCATAATCTACATAACTAGTTACTAGTACTACAAGTACATCATAAAGTTTTAAAAGTGTAGACGAAATTTACTCATTTCATGTTTTAATGGTCTCAAGGCATACCCAGTAACAAAATATAGTTGATGGTTGAAAAACGCTGAAATAGTTAGGTAGGGGTCACAATGTTTTAAAGTGTTGTTATGTGTGGGCACCCTGTGTTGATATTTTTATACGAGGGGAGGGGGGGGGGGCTCATTAGAATTTACGCGTTGAGTAAAAACAAAATAACTAGCCTCTCTCATAAGAAAATAACACGTTCCTAATACTGCATACTTTACATTGGAATCGCTGGAATTCTGCACAGTAATCGGCTATCGATTTTGCGATTAACCGTTTTATCGCGTTGACTTTATCACAAAACACGCCTCTGTGGTATCAAGGCCATATCACTCCCATGAAGGCGTGGGTATACACTGCAAAATAATTCTGATTTGAATGATTATCGGGGCTACGACGGATTACACAAACATGTTAGAATATGGGAACCATAATATGTGTAATCATTTGTCTGGTGATAATACACCGCTTAGTGCATCGTTCCACCCGGCCATATCGTGTTCGATATGCAATTACCATTTTTTTATCGACGTTTCCATCGACGTGACAAAACAGCATGTAATTTGAAGCATTTTGAAGAACTCCAACACGTCAGGGGTTAAAGCAAGCCACTGAGAACGAAGTTCGCTCTTAACCTTCTGCTGAAAGTAACACATTTTATGTTTCCCGTTACAATTAACATCAACAGAATTCTGTTTAACGTGGCCTCGAACATCACTTGACGAGTAGCATTGTCCATTTCGTTGCCAGGTCGTTTACGTACACTGAAGACGAAACACGCAGGATACTTGGGGTTAATAGGTGAACCATCTACACCCCGACAACAATAAAACCACCTATCTCTGTCTAAAGAAATAAAGTCGATAATCGGAACAAAGAGGGGCATTTATTCCAAATGTGTCAGTGTTCATATTCTATTACCAAGGCCCCCCGGTCGTTTTATTTTGGCACCGTGACTCTAAACAATAAACTTTTAAAGGTGTCAATTCCAGGCCGATTCAAGGCGATGTAGTTTTAACAAGGTTATCCGATCTCCAGTTAGTAATAAAAACGTTTCGCCTCTTTTGACATAGTAAGCGTATGTCTTGTTATTGTGTTGGACTTTTTGAAACTGAAGCCAAGCGTGTTAAAGGCAAGTATTTCAAAAACACAATTGAATGGTAGCCACTATAAACACCAAGGTGATAGAGCGGTATAACAGGATGTCGGGTGTAAAGAGGTGCATGTATTATCTATGTCGGTTATCGATACACGACGATAAAAAGTTACTACACGGTGGACCCTCGAGGGAAACCGATATTGTTTGGCAGTTGCGATTTGTTTCAAATACTCGCGCTTGAAGATGTAATTTGAGGATGAAGTATGCGCATGTTACAGTAACGCAGTTTGATGTCAAAATATCAGACATTTTTTCTCACTTTAAACATCGAAAAGTTGTCAGATAAACCTATTGTAGAATGCTGTCAAACTGACAACCATCAATATGAATTTTGCCTCAGAAGTTTGTACGGGTTTCTAAACTAAACTAAACTAAACTAAACTAAACTAAACTAAACTAAACTAAACTAAACTAAACTAAACTAAACTAAACTAAACTAAACTAAACTAAACTAAACTAAACTAAACTAAACTAAACTAAACTAAACTACTTAGTAAACTAACTAAACTAAACTAAACTAAACTAAACTAAACTAAACTAAACTAAACTAAACTAAAATAAAATAAAATAAAATAAAATAAAATAAAATAAAATAAAATAAAATAAAATAAAATAAAACAAATATGTTATCATGTTCGCTTATGTCTCTGCGCCCCTACATTGGAATTTGACCGCAGCTCGCGGTGTTTCAAATCCACTAGTTACCTGCCAAATCGTCATTTGATCAATAAATATTAGAAGAACTATTTTAGTGGTCACATCTCGACTACCTGTGAACGAGGATAAACGAGATGGCGTATTCGTTTTCATATTCGGACAAAATATCAAATGAGACTGAACCCCATAAATTTGTTTTAAACAATACATATTTGTTACTACCATGGAACTATAAGGGGTTTATAGTTCCATGTTACTACCAAGTACCGCATTGCAAAGAACATGACGAAATACAATGTAAATACGAAATATCCACAGCCAGATATGTAATTCGTACATATACATTGAACTTGAAGTCTGGATGTACAATATACCGGGAGTTATTACTGAGTAAGTTCCTGGAGTATTCAGTGAACTGCCACACTATACGTCCGACCAGGTACTAAGACACGGACCACTAACTCTAATATAAATGTTTTATTTATTGATGCTTGTACGTCTGGGGCACATTCTCATGCTCGATGCTGTCTGTGAATCGTTTCTCCGAGTTACGGCTGATAAGGTGTGGCAATAAATGTCAGTCAAGGTACGAACCGTATCGTACTAGATAAACACGGCGGTCACGATACGTGATCTACGGGTGGGCATGAGCGAGTGATTTATTCATAAAAGGGATGTAGTGTTAGCACGGGTCAATGTATATAATGCATATTTGTATCGCCAGGTCTTTGTTTTTTTGATGGAAATCAAAATGTTAAACAGTCTGAACAGGATCTATGGCTGCATGAGTGATTTCGCGCACTGTTTATCAGATTTCAAGCCAACGAATGGTGAATAAAAAAAAAACAAATATTTGTCAATGAATGGTTAAGATTGTTTGTTTAAAATGGCGATGTGGTATACTCAGAGTATTTTTTGAACATTTATGCTTGATATTGTATTTTATAAATTTTTATTTTGTCTGCCAACATTCGCAATCATGTATATTTTTGTTCAGTGATCTATTGAACGAATGGTGCAATATGTCACGGTGCAAGAAAAATCACTTTCTAATTATTTTATGAAAATACAGTATCGAATGCAAATTATTTGGTCATGCTAAAAACACACACAATGTATTCACATTGCCGCTTTGGACAGCCTGAGAACGACAGATTTGCGACTGCTTCGGCTACCCGTTCGGATATGGCAAAAGTAGAACAGTTTCATTTTCGAGTATTTTTTATTGACACGATGTTGTCGTTTTTTGCTTCCTCCATTGAGGTGTGTGTGTTCTTTTAAAAGCATTTTCCCCTGGAATCTCCCCTCCCCCGTGGAAGAAGTTTTACCTTCAAAATCAATATTCTTATTTACTTAACATGATATTATTTACCCGTGTCGTGTATTGGCCTAGCATATTCTATGAGACATAATTTTTGACTCGGTGTTGGGAAAAGAGAGAGAGATTAAATATTTATGTCAGATCAGGCGCCAAGTGTTCACCTAATTCTTCGGAAACTGATTGCGTTGTTGTAGTAAATTTCGCAACACGTGACTACCATTCAAGATGGCGTCCAAGAAACGTGGCGCAATTTGGCAAGGAAAGTTGCTGATACAACTTCACGGTCTGACTTCACATCAAACTGTTTACACGTGTATACGGTTTCCATAGTAACAATTATTCCTCTGTTCGCATTACAGGTGTAGTTAACTGTAAATAGTTGAAAGAGCCCCTGTTACCGAGTAGATTGCATAGCAACAGGTGGTTACCAGGGTTTGTGCTCAATATATCGCCAAAAGAACAGTCGAGCAGTACAGTTAGTGAGCATGTTTATAATAATTGACAAAGATACTGAATAGGAAGGGCAGATATATGAAATAAAAAACTACTCACAATTATGTTTCAATAAAAAAGAAAGCGGAACCGGAAATTGTTCAGTCTAATGGCAATTTGTACTTCCGTAATGAAAGTTATTAATGGTGTCGATATTTCTAATACGCATGCGTGTAAACGACACGGTGTTTGATGTTTCTATATAGAACGGTTCGCAGCGCATGGACAACACATTAATAACAAATTGTCTACTATCGATTGACATTGGCGTCGTGTTCAGGTCTACTAAATATTATATAATCATAGGGCACTTTGGGATTCAATAGTTACCTGTTTCGCAGATCGGACAAGATTGGATTACGACCATGACTACTTAGAAACAGTCGCTACGACTCGCTGCGATTTCCAAGGCAATAGAAAAAAAAAGAGTGCTCGAAAATCACTTGCACTCGGAGCGATATAAGGACCATCATCGCGTAATAAGATTTTCCCCAATGTGCATTGCGGTGACTTAATTTAAATAAAAGAGTTTGAACAAGATGTTTTCTTATTTCATTAATCAAAAAATGCACGCGTGAAGTAACGATGGCGAATCAATCGTACGATGAAACAAGCACGGGCTGGAAATAATGTCCGCTTCTTTTGTAACTTCGACAATAGTATTATGGCGCGGTGATGCCAAAAAGGCCTGTCCGATATTCCAGTGTAGCAACGCTCTGGGATCAAGCCCCTACATGTAGATTCATTGTATAATCATTAAATCCACATAATAATAGTTATACTAATTCGCCGGGGACATAACATATCACAACAGAGGGTGATGTGAGTGTCCTTGCACCACTATGATGACCTTTTGATATAAAACAAAATACGAACGAAAAAAAATCACCGTACCTGGCTTGGGTTTGGCGCTGCGTTTGTTCCATGAGACAATACCTATCAAAAGAATAAAACATTCGTTATTGAAAAAAAAAGTTCAGACGATTTGTCACAAAAAAGTGGCGCAACTAGGGATTATGGAATCACATTTGCTGCATGCGTGTAATCACCATAGCAACGATTTTTCGAGTGGGTAGCGCTACTTTATTTTAAAAACACTCTAAAAATGCGAACACACGGTTTGAATGTGAAGATAAATATACAGCAGATCTGTGCGTGTACAACAATGAACTTGGTCTCCTTGCATGAATAGACTTCTTCAAGGGGATAATCGGTCAATGACCAAACCAATAATAATATTTGTTGTATTTCGACCAAGTTGGTGTTCAGTCTTCATGCTCTACCTGTAATTTGAGCAAACAGTTCCGTGTGTGTGTTTTTGGGGGAAGGGGGCAAATACTGCAAAACACTTTAAATTTAGCGAATTTAACTCAATGCATGAATTAACTGAATTAGATAAAGTGCCAATAATTTCATTGTGAGAATATACTCCATTCTAATTAGTGACATCTAAAATAACATGCTTTTACAGAGTCTCATGAAAACGGGCGTTATTTATATTCTAGTTTTCAAGAATCAGTAAATTCGACCAACTTGACAAAGGACATGCATAGTCATGTTAATTACCCTGAAAAAAAGATTAATTTTAAAGAGAGACTTCTCAAGAAATCGTATGTAACGCAACCCTGAAATTGAATTCAGAAGTGGATTCTCCTAAAATAAATGAGGCTGTACTTATTTGATTAAAACAATGAACATGTTTAATTTGGTGATCAGGCACCACAGACTTCAGTGCAGCATTTGAGAATTTTACTACGTCACACAAGTGCTTCCACGTTGGAGGGCGCGGTTGATAAAAAAAAAAGATATTACAATGCTCGATCTTTGGAATCATCATGGTAGCGACTGATTACAGACTACCTTGCAGAGGCACGCGAAGTCAATATGTGCATTACATGGACGTTCACTGCAACTTTGATCAGGTTATATACTGACCTATTTTCATTATCAATAATTTCTCAGTAGCGATTTCGCGGTTCCATGATGACATTATTCTCTTCGTATGCCGAATGTAGTTAGAATAAACACAGTGAAATCACCATGGCAATTATAATCAATTTAAATATGTTTAAAACGCCACCACTTCTTCTATCGAGTGTCATAGTCCCAGATATTGAAACATAAATTATCTTATTTTTCCTCAACCCAACAGAATACCTACTTCAAGGCATATACGATTTGAGTTGATATAATTTGTTTTCCCTATGTAAATATAAGGTTTCGTTGTTTTGTAATAAATCAAGTGAAAACCCTTTAATATATTATGCGAGAAATCACATAAAATGAATTGTAGTATTAACAATTACGGAAACGCATCCTCGTGTTGACCTTAACTTGTTTGGCGTATTCGTATTCACGATAACACGTGCCTATAAATAATATATGGTTCGAACAAATATCAGTCTCTGTATCTCCTTAGGATTCATTTTACGACCGATTCAGATGAGTTTGCAGCATACAACTCATCCGTTATTTCGCGGCATTAATCAGCGTAATTGCATGAACCGTTACTGACCGAATTCCCTAAATGAATTAATTAATCACTGACAACGATGGGTATGTTTAGTTGTATTGTGACAACGGGGTAGGCGTGTCTAACATGCGTTGAGTCATTATAGGTAGAAACCTATTTAAAAATCCATACACTGCGTGTATAATAGTATTGTGCTGTACCATAGTATAAAACTATAAGGGTTAGGGTTACGCTACTTGTGAGACGATTGTGCCTATACATAACGTAATAGTAGTATTTGTTGTTGTCTTATTATTTCTAAAAATTATGTTTTATCTTCGCGTTCTATAGAAACAAAGCTTAAAGGGCGGTAGTCGTCGCGCCGCGTCCTGTTCGATATGGGACTCATAGCGACGTATATAACGCGTGTAAAATACATTGTTTATTTATATGAAATTCGAACACGCGCTGCGCGATGACCACCGCGCTTTAAATAATAATTATGTGCACAATTATAATTAATAATTGTATCATACGCAGTAGAATGTTGTTTGGAGAACTTGAAAATGAACATTTATATATTAATGTTTAAACTTTGAACATTGGCCAAACTGTACAACAGTGAGTGCGTGGAAAGGCCTCCCTTCTACAATAGTGAAGAGCGATGGTCGTCGCGCTGTACGTGTTCGAATACCATGTAAACAATGTATGTTATTGTTGAATACATCGCTAGGGGTCGAACAGATCAAACGTGATTGGCAGCTGTATTATCAACAACCGTACTACACCATGTACATATCATCTAGTAGATTATATCGGGAGGAGAACGAATCATTCTGGGAGCTTAATCTCTACGTATATATGGTCGTTTTGTCATTTTATGGTTGGAAGCACAGATACTCCCATAGGACGGTGTTTTTTTTCATTATGGCAAACTCAATCGCCGAGGACATATCTTTGTAAATACATGGCTTTGTCCACTTACCTAATCCCCCAATCTCATCGGAATCGTCACCGATGTCCCAGGCACTCAGCAGTTCCCATTCGGTATCTTTGCTCTTGTTTCTGTGGAGCCAACAACATCGAGAAATGAGAACAGTTTCGGAGAGGAGAGTAAAACGCAAAACGTGAACTGTTTGTAATCACGGTGCGTCACAAACGACACCGGGCGTAACAACTAGAGAGTTTTTGTTATTGGAGAGTTTATAAAAAATACCCGATTAAGTATATGAAAGTAGACAATAAAGCGTCAATAGTGTCTTAGGGGTATTGTTTTTTCATGATTGAAGAATAAATAATTAACCTGACATGATTATCATTCATCTATCATAGTCAAGCGCCTGTGTTATAATTAATGCGGGTACACGGAGGGCGAACAAGAAACTTATCTCACGACCTCGATGACCTCACACGTCCACTGGAAACATAGTTTGTCCTCACTCCACTAACTACTAATTGTCGCCGGCAGCAATATTTAAAAAAAAATGAATAATGGTTTAATTGTTATGGTTTTAATTATAGAGAGCAAAATAACACACGTGAATATCATAACACTACCAAGTCGGTGCATATATTTATTTTCCTGAAAACTCTGAACGGTTATGCTTGACATATAATTGGGTGTATATATTACGATATACACAATATAGCCGTATGAAGGGAATGTAGCATCTACATACGTGAATAATATAAGGAAATAAACTGGTGAATAAAGGCGACTGAACATTTTCGATTCTATCTCTAAAACATTATCATACTAGCGTTCCCTGCCTTTCATTGCACAGCGAGTTACTCAGTAGCACGCGACAACAATCGTTAAAACTAGTCAACTTTCTCGTGTTGTTACATGGCAGCTGTCAGACATTCAATGGATTACCGTATACAGGCTACAAACAGACCGTAGATAAAATAAACAGCGTGTCGTAATTTGTAAGTCGGGCAAAAAGTTTACATTACATTACCACCGTGCAAACGAGGGTATGCTCCCAGACAAGTTGTAGGTGTGTTATTGTCAAGAAGAGCGTATTTTGACGGTGTGTGTTGATATTTAGGACAGTGTTTGGACGTAATGCGGCTCATTCGTTATAGTATAGGAGGACGGCTGACATCGGAATTTGCCATGATTGTATTTACATACGGGGTGCGTCTAAATGAAATAACGAGTGTGTACAGTGGCGTGGAGACAACGTTTCCATTACTTCTGTGTTCAGACTCTTGTTCTGGATTTGTAATGAAATGGCGGTGCGTCCCAAATGCACGCTCAAAATATCTCCAAACGGCAGCCGCATTGCTACCACGACCGAAACGACCTGTATGATTGAAATGATTGTCACAATTACGTCATTTTGACGTATCCTGAGCTACCGATATTGTCTAGGAGTTTCCCATCGTCTAGACCGTGCCAGTTAGTTGTCTTAAAAACGGCACGGTTTATTCTCAAACGCCAATTTCGAATGGAATAGTGTGTTCGTTTTGCGTATCACTTTACAATGAACGACTATGCTTGGCTTGTCACTGTGTTCGCAACGGCAGGACCGTGACTTGTTAATAGATATTCCAAAAAACGTACGTGAGAGTCCAGCTGGATACGAGGCCAACTCTGTCTCTAACGTACTTGTCAAAATCAACACACGTAATCGAACGACTGTGTATATTCTTGTCAGTAAAGTTGAAAGAACCCCTTCTCGTGTTTTCACAGTTGGTAAACTTAGTCTAATATGTCCGGTTTTCTGACACCAAAACCCCAACGCACTCCCCATTGATTCCTGCCTGTTTTAATACTCAGTGCTCGGATTGAAATAGAACCCCCTGTCTCAGTCGTTCAGTGGGCCACATACATTATATTGCTTGTGAATACACAGTAGTCTTCGCCGTAATTAAAAAGAAAACGTCCCCGTCCCTACCTGTTTGTAAGCACTGACCGATCTCTAAGGTTACCGGGAGAAGATTGCACCCTGTCCGATGTTCTGTTCCCCTGCTGTAACTTCTGTCTATACATTGCAACTCCCAAGTCGTCCCACAATCGTTGTCGACGACGAAAGTCCGTTTCAGCTCACGCCGCCCATATTGATTTAAACATATCTGCCATAATCCCCGGTTTGGCGCGAGTTTAGATATCGTTGCCCCGTTCTTGTCGATTACTGCACAGTGTGTGTACGCCGTGGATTTTCATTGTATCGGCCACTTAACAATCGCCATTCCAAATTTGCACTTCAATAGGTAGCTACCTTTATGCTTGTTGACACACAAATCCGGCCAGCTTTTGTTTACGTCTCAACGGCCAATCAACAATTGGCTTGTATACAGAGTTATTTTATTGCTATTCGTATTCAGGCGTAACCCCGGTCGGAACGCGAGAAGTCGGTAGGGGGAGGTTATCGACCCGACGGATCGATCAATCGATATTTCCTTGCTCTATATTTTTGTGTAGTTTTCAAAATATTGGCACAGAAACAAATGAGAAATTTTGTTTACAATTAATTTCTAATATTAAAAGTTTTGTATTATGGGATATTTAACTTAGTGAACCGGATGATGTATTTATAAAACAAAGTAGCAATTCTACAGAGCAACTTCGTTTAAAACAAATCTGAAATGTCAATCATGACGCGAACAGTATCGTATCCAATTATTGCAGGAATACTATTTTTAGGGAATGCGTTGGCACGAGGCGCCGAGTCCACGCATCGCCGACGTTCCTATACAAGGTCGCTTTTGAGGCTGGTTATGAGTCACAGTCAAGTCATTCTTCGACATTCATTTTTTTTATTGATTCGCGATTCATTATTCGTCTACTTCGCTGCCGTAGTTTACATGTTTCCATAGATACCATTCTGACGAATCGGAGGCTGGAGAATGTTTTTTCTTTTTTACGCATATAACGGAACCATCTCACAAGGAATCTCCTTATGCGTTTTGAAATTAAAGGTCAAAATTAAAGGTGTTGAAATTAAACACCCATTGACGGCTCTAAAAAATTACTGTGGTCTTGTTTTATGTTTTAAAATAGCAATCACAAGTAACAATGTGACGCTGAATGAGTTTGAGTGATTAATGATTGAAATAGATTTGTAGCTCGAGGTCACTAAACTTAACACCGCGTAACAACGTCGGTTGCCCTCGCACGAATCATACCGATTATTTTCGAACACAGACTCACGTGACGAATCTCAGTGTATGGAATTGACATGAAATGTGTCTGTGTTAATTGGTTGCAATGACAAGACTACATCCCCATCTTGGGCCGGAATTACTGTTTTTATAAACCATATTGTCTAGTGAGTCGCGAGAAAACGATGTAGAAGTATTTCTTAATTCATATTTATACTTGGTAGATCACCGTTTAACATTTTAGGGCAATTGTTATCTCAAGAACCACTCATATAGATTTCAACTGTACTTGCTGCATAAATGTTCTGCAGGCAAAACTATATATATACGTACACTATAGTGACGGGCGACTGACTACTCACGGAGGGGCATTTCCAGTTTAATTCGAGCGCGCCCTCAATGGTTCGGCGAAGGTAGTCAAAATTGTAGTAAATAATCATGTCGACCATAGACTCGGGGTCTATGAGTCGACTTATTAACTTGTGTTAGAAAGCATTGAATTTAATTCATGACCAAGTCTAAATGAATAAACCTAGAATGACCGAGATCAAATTGAATATTGTCATCATAGTTTAAGTTTCATATAAAAGGCGGTGGTCGCCGCGCCGCGTCCTGTTCGATATAGCGACGTATACAACGCGTGTAATATACATTGTTTGTTTGCATGGAATTCGAACACGCGCTGCGCGACGACTACCGCCCTTTAATTAATCACGATGGTTCAGTTTCCCTGGATCGCTATACACAGAACGAAACATGCTCAAGGTTTTCAAACAATCAAATTTCAGTGCAGTTAATTTGTCCAAGATTAGGTATGCGTGACCTCGAGCTACGAGCTA